GGCGCCGGGCCGCAGGTACGGGTCTACCCTGCCTACCTGCCTCCCCCGGCCCCGAGCTCTGGCGAGCCCCGCCTTGGCCGAGCCGGCCCGTTTCGGGCAGGCCCGGGCCTGGTGTCCCTCTTCCCCGGAGCCGAAGCACTTCAGCAGGGAGGAGGTGGCGTACAGTGTATAATCAAACCCGTCCCCCCGTACTTTGAAAACATAATTGAACTCTTCCGTTCTGTTGTTTAGTATCATCAATACTTGTCTTCGATGCGATACAACATGTTTTAATAATGGTGATTTGCATCCAGACAGTATCTTCTTCATGGGGGAGACAACTTCCCCATGACGAGAGTTCATTGATCAAAAATGCATCGCTAATAAACGGCGGTACATTAGATAGGGTAATCTGGGTTGTGGGCTGCGTTATCGGCAGCACTTGTTCAAACAAGCCGTTCACTACTATACCGGTCCCCACTAGCCGGTTAGCTTGTTCCACCTTCTCCAGAAATAACACGACCGATTTATTCATGCGGGCGGCGGATTTGATGGAGCTGTGCCCCACCACCTCCCCTGCTGCCAGCGCCACCTCCTCCACGCTGCTCAGGGATCCGACGCCCACCTTCACGCCGTGCTGCCGGGACAGCCGGGCCAGCCCGTCGGCCGCCATGACAGCTGCCACCAGCCTCAGGCCGGCGGGAAAACACACAAAGACACGAACTACACTAACCCCAAACTAAACCCGTGCAAACACAAACACCTACATAAACCACCACCAAACAAATAATTAGAAGAAAAGGATAGAAATATGGAAAAAGAATCCAAAAACTCTCTCTCCCACTCTCTCCCTCACTCACTCTCCTCCCACAAGATGCAGCAAACTCTCTCCATCATTGTGGCTTTTATTGCTCAGTTTACTGTTGTCAACTGCATCTAGACTGGATCATAAGAAACCATTGAAGTGTAACAGTGTGTGACTCCCTCTAGTGGATGTTGTGGAGTATTGTGTTGTCTTTGCTCCAAAGGTTTTTGTACAGAGTTTTGGTGTTTCCTGTCACTGTGGGCTGCAGAGCACAGTAGTACACAGCAGAGTCAGACACCTGAAGCTTCTGGATCTTCAGAGGAACTGATCTGACGGTGGAATTCAGAGTGGATGAAAATCTCTCCTTGTGGTCGTCTGCTGTGTTTCCTTCATCCAGTTTAAAGCGGCTCAGGATGAATTTGGGGCTGTGGTTTCCATCCTGTTTGTACCAGTAGAGATATGAAGTTGTTGAACTGCTGTTATATCGACAGTCAAGTGTTACTGCTTCTCCTTCAGTAGCGGTCACGTCTCCTTTTGGTTGCAGCACGTTTTCTTTTTGTGCTCTGCATTCTGTAAAACACCAACAAACAGTATCAGTGTGCTGTTACAGAATCATGTCAGTGTTGGATTGATATCACAGAAACTGTAGTGTTCATACCAAGGCACATAGCAGCCAGCAGCACTGAGATGAACAGAGGCATCATGTCTGCAGTGTTGAGTCACTGTGAGCTACAGCAAGTATAAAGCAGGCTGTGGTCTCTCAGTTTAGTCTTCATCAACACTAAGATGGTGGATCAGAAGGAGGAGCCTGATCACAGTGACAGGGCTCATTCACAGCCCTGTGTTATTCCCCCAACTGACAACTTTACACTAAACACATGTTTGTACCTCTCTCCTTTCCTGGTCTAACTTGTGTTGTATGTAGTCATGATTGGACATTTCAGCTGACGTGTTTCCTGTTTTACAGCTGCTGCAGATTCACTTTGTTCCTGAGCAGATAAAAGCTGCTGATTGTTGTGAAGCTGCTGCAGCTCCTTTAACATCTTTATCAGAAAGATTACAGGTAAAACTGAGGATGAATTTTGAGCAACATGTGACTCTTGTTCTTTTCACAGTGTTTCTCTCTTCAATGTAAATGACGGTTCAGTATCTGTTGGTCAAATACAAAGATGTGGAGTGAATGTGAAGTTTAAATCATGTGATGTTGAAACTTGATGAAACTCCAGTTGTTAGTTTGATTCCACTTTGAGTTTTTCCTTAAATTTCAATGTTTGAAAATATAAAGTGCTGTTGATTTCAGAGTTTTATTAGTTAATGCTTCAGTGTGTATTTGTGGTTTAGCTCTACATGTTGTCAAGGATGTGAACAATGGAAGCAGCTGATTTTGGCCTAATGACCCACAGAGTATGAAGATTAAGGGAGTAAGTCAGTGTCCATTTGTTTTCATGGAGTCTGTGTTTGAAGCATCATCAGTTGGTTTGTCATTGATGTGGATCAGCTGCTCATGTGAATCCTCCCACAGTGTTTGATTAGCAGCTGTAACCACAGTGACTCTGATAAAACAGGAAGTAGCAGAATCCATGTGATATGAAGCTGTGGTTTGAAAACCACTTCCCTCCTCTTTGAAGAGGAGTCAGATATCTGTGTTCAGGTTTTTGTACAGCCTCTTCTACACTTTGTATCACTGTGTTTCTAGAGCACAGTAGTAGAGAGCTGTGTCGTTCAGGGTTAGTCTGCTGATGGTCAGTTTAGTTGATGTGCCTGTTGTTTGGATTGATATCGACCATCAGGAATATGTTGTTTACCACTCTCTGTCCTTCTCCTTTCAGAGTATAAACTGAGGTGCTGAAGGTCAGAATCATGTCTGTACCAGTAAAGGTAACAATTGATGATTGTCTGATATTGACATGAGAGTGTGACAGATTCTCCTTCTCTTCCACTGACTTCATCTCTTACAGGAGAGATTGTGTCTCCAGCTATTAGTCCTGGAAAAAGTAGAGAGAATGAAGCATTAGACTAACATTGTCCATGAGGCTGAGAGGAGAAGACAGTGGAAAATGTCTCTGTACAGTGTTACTCTGTGGACACAAACAGCTCAACTGTAGCTCACATCATAACTAGATTGTACAGGACTTCATGACAAAGACAGATTATTGTGAAGTTTCAACTGTGAAAGTGATAAAATGGAGGTCAAATATCTTGTTGATACAGCAGGTTAACTGAGAACACTGATTTGTTGTCAAACTCACCTATGAAGTGAGAGAAAAACAAAAAGAGGTAAAGCAACATGTCTTTGGAGGAGTTGAAGCCAAACAGACAGCAGATGAACAATGTTCTTCCACTGCAGTAGAATGAAGAAACTAAACAGCCTCTCTGCTGCACAGCCCTTCTCCTCAACATCAAGCTGATTGTGCTTTTAGTTCCTCAAACATTTCTGCTCTGGACACACAAAGAATCTCATTGGCTGAGGTGGACTAAAGTGGGCGGGGCCAGGTAATCACCTCTCTGCTCCTTCCTCAGTGAGATTTAACTGTCTTTATATTATGTTTAGTTTTTGTGATGTTTGTGTCGTCAGTCCACAGACACAGTCTCTTAAAACTCAGTGTTTTCACAGTGTGTGACTCCCTCTAGTGGATGTTGTGGAGTATTGTGTTGTCTTTGCTCCAAAGGTTTTTGTACAGAGTTTTGGTGTTTCCTGTCACTGTGGGCTCACAGGCACAGTAGTACACAGCAGAGTCAGTCACTGCAGCAGAGGAGATGTTCAGATCCATTCTGGTTTGATCTTCACTCACTTTAAAAGACAGTCCAGAGACTGGATCTGATAATTCTTTTTCCTGTCCTGTGTGAGAGATGAGGAACTACTGGTGGTTTTCCTGGATATTGTCGATACCAGAAGAAATTATCACTGATCGCTGCCTTTGTGGAGTAGTTGTAGGACAGAGTAACAGAGCTGCCTTCTGAACTGAACTCTTCAGTCTTGACTGGAGTCAGTTCTTCACAGCTGACTCCTAAAGAAACAGAGAACTCTGTTATAACATGATGTAAATGTTTCAATACATAATTTACATTCATTTCCCTGCATGATCTCACATACCTGTTAGAGTAGAGACAAACAGTAGAGACAGAACATAATAGTCCAATGACAGCATGTTGAATGAAGGTAATGTTGATGGTTTGTGTATTGAACTGTGCTGAATATGGAAGTTCCTCTCTCTTCTATAGTTCAGTAACAGCTCAGCTCCTCCCTGAATCTCTCCCTCTCCTCTTAGATCTGTATTTTCTCTTCTCTCTGTGACACTTCCTCCTGGTGAACAGACTGGAGCAGATATTTTAATTTTGTTTTTGGTCATTATTTTATAACAGCAGTTAGAAAAAGGTAGCTGTGGTGAATTAAAGGGTGGATCCCATTTTTAGTATTAGCAAACACAAGAACAATGTCATCTATACTTCTAAAGTGGAGAATGTGTAACTGAAATGAACTGATAATGAAAGAAATTGGTATTGTCCAATATTACATCCAGAGTATGAGTGATACATTTATTTTATGTAGACAAGAATAAAATCCATTCAAAACAAAATCTGTGAAATATTGAAATGTGACAGAATATCTGATGATTCTAATAATAATCACATATTATTCATCATATCAGATATTGTCAGCAAAATAATGGAAACTGATGTAGTATAAAATAATTTAATGTTAATTAATCATGTCAGTGGAAAATTAGAGGACCTAGGATTGAACCCTGTGGTACACCACAATAAATCACAATCTCAGAAAATAATAGAAATTTATTTTATGTAGATGAGAATAAAATCCATTCAAACCAAAATCTATGAAATATTAAATGTAGGAGAATATTTGATGACTCAACCTCTATATGATTACTTTATTTTTGAAATATTTAATGTTTGACTAAAAAAAATTTCATTTTGAATATTTTCAGAAAGAACCTCACAAAAGTATTTTCCCTACTCAGTCGAACTTAAACTTTATTAGACATCACAGTGTAATTGTTTAATTAATTTATAAAATCCCACAACACTTCAATATCATCAGAGTTTGTGTTGAATGAAACAAAACTTTGTTATTCTGTGTTTTATCTTAACGTCTTCATTTCCTTTTTTATCATCACTACAAAGAATCTAGACTGGAGCATGAGAAACCTTTGAAGTGTAACAGTGTGTGACTCCCTCTAGTGGATGTTGTGGAGTATTGTGTTGTCTTTGCGCCAAAGGTTTTTGTACAGAGTTTTGGTGTTTCCGGTCACTGTGGGCCTCAGAGCACAGTAGTATACAGCAGAGTCAGACACCTGAAGTTTCTGGATCTTCAGAGGAACTGACTTGTTCTTGATTTCAGTTTGAAATCGTCCTACTGACTTATGTCCTTTCTCTGAAATGTAGTGTTGTATCAAAAGCTTTGGGAAATCATTAATTTCATGTTTGTACCAGAATAGTGTGTAGTCCGAGTAACTGGTCTCAAATGAACAATCAAGTGTAACTGTGTCTCTTTAAGCAGCAGTGACATCAGCTGCTGGCTGGATCACTCTCTCTTCTCCTTTACTCTCTGGGAAGAACAGAACATGCAGA